CGGTGTAGGCTGTCCATGCTGTGTCCTCGGGGGCGGGGCAGGGGGGAGGCGCAGGGGCGGGGCATCTGGTCAGAAGGCCCCTCATGGCCAGTGGGCACTGCAGGGTCACGGTGCACACAGGCTCAGAGGGAACAGGTGCACATTTACTCGGAGGTGGTGTGCTCGGGCCGCAGAGCGGGGCACAGGGAGCAACGGGCACGTGGGAAGACAGAGCCGGACCTGGGACGGGGGACGGGAATGGCAGAGGGACAGGCTGGACGGGGGCAGGGGCTGCGCCGGCACTGTGGACGGGGCGCCTTCATTGGCAAAGACAAGGACCAGGCAAACCGCACTAGAGGTGGCTCCGGGAGCGGGGGCACCGGGCTGTGGAGGGAAGTCTGGGAACTGAGGCCGAGCAGAGGGACCGCTGCGTCCCCTTATCTTAGAGCCTCGTTTTCACTTAGTGCACAGTCCTGCTGTCCCTGAGTCTCAAATGAGAAGAACCCAACGCTGCAAGTCTGCCTCCCCGCCCCTCTCCACCGGCAAGCACCGATGCCGAAGGCTCCTTTCCACTGTGAAATAAAAGCTGTCACCTCCGACTACTCACTCTGGGAGACTGACACATATACTAAGTTTTCCTTCAGTTTTAAGGCAAAGCCAGTAATTTATAGAAAAATTGTGAGGCCAAAGAAGCGAATTTAATGAAGCCATCGTACAAAACTACCTGCAACCACAACATAAACAAAGAAAGATGGAATGAAAATGAAATTTAGCAAGACGCCATTTACAGCCACACTGACGGACTAGGACACGGGTGGCGGCCAGAGGGACGGGGTTGGGGCGTGAGTGGCGCAGGTGGAGGAGATTACGGGGGACGAACTCCCAGTTATAAATAAACAAGCCACAGGGGTGCGACGAACAGCGTGGAGAAAATACTTGGTAATACTGTAATAACTCTAAGGAGAGAGAGATAAACTGACTTGTCGTGGTGACCACTTCCTACTGTACATAAACACCGACCCGCCACGCTGACGAGGCCTGGAGAGGAAGCGGTGGAGTGGAGGAAGCCACCCCACTCTGCAAAGACACAAGATCTGCACTCAGAACACCCCCGAGCCTCATGCCACACATCAGTAAGGAAGAGATGCCAGCGGAGGGCAGCGGCCACGGGACCTCACCGGGCGATGTGCAGAAGGGGCCTGTCAGCCGACAGCGAAACCCAAGATGCAATCCCAGAGAAATGCCTTTCTGTGCTAAACCAGAACCGCCCAAAGGGGAAAAGGCGGGAAATATCACTGATGGGGGGGTCTGCCGAGTGGAGGGGGGCCCGCCGTGGGGACTGAAGGGAATGCACGTGTGCTGTCACCAGCCTTCACTCCACGTGCCACACCAGGTGAGGGGGGGTGAGGCGTTTGCCTCAGGCACCAAAAGACTCAGGAGTCCAGATTAAAAAACACTTCGGTGCAATATGGAAAAAAACGAAAAGGCAAAAATTCATGATGAACAAAATAGCAACATTTTAGACAAAGTGGGGCTCGGTAATCCTGAGCTCTCCTGCCTCGGCTCCAATGCCCTGCCTGGCGCGGCCAGCACGGCCTGTGAGGCTGCAGCCTGGAGACTCAAGACGCCCCCGGCCGTGCGACAAAGGACCTTAGGGTCCCCAACTGTGACGAGGGGAGTGACAGCCAGCAGGAGCACAGTCAGCATGTCCCAAAGCACGGGACACGGCGCTGCGTCCGGCGTGTACGAACGGCAGGACGGGGCTGCCCCCGGGAAGGCGGTGGCCTGAGGGCAGCAGGGAGGGGGCTGCAGCCCCTCGCTGCCCACCCCGGGTGGGGGCCACTCGCGTCCCCTCCCTTGTAAAACTCACCAAGCTGCACGACTGTGACACGTGCAACTTTCTGCAACATACGCACGGAGGATGAGTATGTCACGCTCCTGAAAACGCGGAGACGGGACTAAACGCCCGCTCCCTGCCACGATGCGCAGCGATCACTCGCAGACCCTAACCTTGGTGACAGGGACCCGGCACTGGAGTGGGCGGGCACTAACAGAGAGACCGGCCGACCTCCCACGACGGGTAGCTCAGAGCCCCGACAGGCACCCAGGAGCCGGGTCCCGTGGGTTCCCGCACCGTGTCCTCTGGGGGAGAGCCGCCTGGTCAGCGGGGCGCAGTGCCACCTCTTCCTGCCGGCCGCCTGGCCACCCTGCCCCGAGAGCCTCTGCCTGCTGCTAAGGGTGCCCTAGGTGTGCTTTCTCCTGTCACGGGGCTCGAGGACAGGACCGGGCATCAGACCAGGCGTTCAGCACACAAAGCACTCGGAAACGCGTCCTGAGCCAAACAGCGGGGAGCTGCTGGGCAGCAGCAAGCGGGGCTCCGGGAAGTGCTGGGTCCGTCCCTCAGGTGACACGAGGAAAACGAGAGGGATCCACGACCCAGGCCCCACCAGCGAGCTGTGGCCGGGGCCAGACGTCCCCTGGGGTGAGCACGGCCCCTTGGCGTGCCCAGGCATGGCCGCCAGCGTCCTGGGGGTCCCACGACCGCGCTCACCGTCAAAGGCGGAGGCACAAGCGGGGTGCGGGGTGGGGGGTACCAAGGAGAGCAGTCTGTGCAGCACGTGTTAACAGGAGGTACTTCCTAGGAGCGGACCTCTTCAAAGTCTCACTGTGACCCCGGCTGGCACACCTGTGGACATGTGCTACGTGCAGTGGGGGCGCCAGCCTCTGACACCCCAGAGCCCCGGGCCCCACACCCGGCTGGTGCTTTGCAGACCATGCCGGACGGCAGACAGACTCACCCGGAACGCGGTGCCTTCCTCGATGATCGTGGGCAGCTGGGAGAGACAGATGTCCACAGCGAGGTCCCAGGCTTGCCTGGGGAGAGAACAGAGGACGCCCCCTGGGCATCACTGACCGGCCCCACTGCGGCGCCTCGGACCGCGCACAGCAGCGGCCATGCCCATGGCAGCTACGTCTGGGCAAACGCCGAGGGCAGCGAGGGCAGGACCGCGTGGCTGGCAGCATGCCACAGCCGTTTGTGTGGGCCTTTTCTAATTAAACTGAGAGACAAGTTTGGGGACAGCAAAGGGCCTCGTCCCACCTAGTGACGCAGTTTCTGCCCCCGAGCACGTGCAGCACGCGCCTGCCCACGCCAGTCCACACTGTGGCACAGCTGTGGCTGATGATGGCAGCGGCACGCGCTGACATGGCACCCAACGCCAGGGTCAGGCCGGGGAGCTTCGGCAGAAACGGACCGGTGTGGGGCCAGGAGAAAGGGGTCTGCCCGTGGACCGCTGCCCTGAGAGCCCCTCGCTGTGCCCCGGAGCCCCCCGACTCCTCAGGCTGCAGCACTGCCGGCCCGGCGCCCCTCCCAGAGCGTCTGACCTGTGCCCAACACGAAGCCCTCGGGGACGAGGCAGGTGGTGCTCGTCTGGGTGACAGTCTCCAACTCGATGGCCTGGCTCTGGGGCCTGGCACTGCTGGCGCCATCCCCCGAGGATCAGTTCCAAGAGTTCCCCTCACAGGGCCAACACGACAGGAGAGACTCGGCGGGGCCGATGGCAGGGTGAGGCCGCTCACAGGGAGCCGTCCCCGCCTGGCTCCCAGCGGGGTGCGGATGGCCACCTCGCGCTCCCTGCGCCCAGGGTGGGCAGCGCAGGCCCTTCACCTCGACTTCCTGCCCTCTCAGAAACTGTCCCCGTGGGAACGAGGCTAGGGCCAGCATCACACCCCTTGCCAAGCCACTTCCTGGGGCGCGAGGGTCCCCCACTCTGTCATTCAGACCCCGTGTGGGGGAGGGCGCTTTCCCAGAATGCCTCTGTCGAGGGTGGGAATGAGGAGGAAAACACAAGCATGGGACACGGGGGCAATTCAAGACGGACAGGAAGATGCGACGAGGCTTCCGTCTTCACGCAGGCGGACGTAGCTGTCTCCCCACACGCCCTCCCCCACCAGCCTAATTAAGAGGCAATCAGGAGATAATCGAGTCAGCGCCCAGTGCGGGCAGTCAGCAGCTCCCAGCGCTCACTAAACGCCCGGACTGCGGGCACAGTGCGCTCGCGCCAGCGGCGAGCAAAGCCAGTTACTGCAACGAAGCTCTGCGAAGCTTCCTCGTATTTAATCCGACAAAAAGTCTCAGCTTCTGGAGTCAGGAGAAAGTGCGCGTGGCCGGAGGAGGTGTGAAGTGGGCGGGGGTCGGCGGGAGCTTCGGGACTGCCCTCCTGGACTGCAGGCTGACATGCCCCCTTTAGCCAGTCTCCTCGGAACCACAAGGGTGGAGAACTATAGCCCAGTAAACACGGCACCGCAATTTCCTGAGGTCCTGCGGGTTCTAGACAAGCATCCGAGAGTGGGATGGCCTGGAGTGGCCTCAGCACCGTCCACTGCACCTCCCTGTTCTTCCCTAACAGAGGAACAGAATGTGACGCAGCTGCAGCAGCCGGGGCTGGGGGGCATCCTGAGAGGCCTGACCCACTGTCACCGTCTGGCTCGATGTCCCCTAAGGGCTGGCCCCCGCCCGGGCCCAACCACTGGGGCGTCGTGTCCTCCACCAGCTGCCCATTTTCATGCAGAAAAGCAGCCCAGGACGGCTGTGTATTTGTGAGAGGCGCAGGGGAGACGGCCCACGTGACGGGGAGCCATGGGACAGGGGTGCCAGGGCAGCAGTCCCCGACCTTTCCGGCACCAGGGACCGGTGCTCCTGAGAATCTGATGCCTGGTGGTCTGAGGCGGAGCTGAGGCGGTGAGGCCGGTGCTGGGGAGCGGCTGCGGACAAAGCTTCGCTCGCCCGCTGGTGCTCACCTCCCGCCGTGCGGCCCGGGTCCTCACAGGCCAGGGCCAGTACCAGTCCACGGCCTGGGGGTTGGGGGCCCCTGACTTAGGTCACTGAGAGCGATGCAGAGAAGCTGCTCGGGGCCAGCGGCGAGAGGGCACAGCCGTCTGAGTGACAGAGGAAAGCACTGAGTCCAGGGTTCGCAGGAGACAGGAGGGGCGGGAGGTGTGAGGACATCCACGACCTGCCGAAAGCCGCAGGGTCAGACGTGGCGCCGGCACGCGCGGAGGTGCCGCGAGCCCAGGCAGAGGCGAGGGGAGAGCGCGGGCTGGCGCTGGGTGCGCCGGACACCCTCTGTGGCTCGTGTTTACATCAGAAAAGGGGAGACGAGGGGACCTCTGAGCCTCATTAAGCTCTAGACCACACGGCACAGCAACAGTGCTGCCCGCTGAGCTTTGTCGGTGACTCAAACAGGCTGCGTTTTTCAGGACGGAATCAAAAGGAACTCAGGTCTTAATTTGGGATTCTCACTAGGAAACGTGGAAAGTGAGCCCTGCAAAACCCTGAGGCCGTGGGGTGGGCTGCGGGAGCCCAGGCCTGCGTTCTGGCCCCAGGCAGACACAGGGCCGGTGTCTGTCTGCCCACGGCCACGGCCTGGAGGGAGAGGTGGGTGACGTGTCCCGGGAGACCGGAGGGGAGGCGGTAGGCGATCTGAACCCTGGCCCTGCCCGGCCCCCCAGCTTGGAGTGGGGGCTCTCGGCTGTGGGCTGCTCGGATGCGTCAGGCCTGGAAAATGTGCCACTGGGGCTGGAGCTCGTGTTTTTGGGAGACTCTCAAGAGGGTGGCCGCCCCAGGAGCCTCCTCCCACCCCCGCTGGCACCTGCCAATCAGCGAGCACGCTGCCGCGGTGTGCGAAGCAGCTCAGGGCACCGGGCTCAGACCGGCTGACACTGGAAGTGACTGAGCGACTTGCTCACAGCTTCCCATCAAACATTACACAGGAGGGGCCCTGAGCAGTCGTCAGCACCCCCGCCTGAGGCCACACACGGACGGACGTCAGTCTGTGCTGTCACCTCGATTTTTGTTACGCTTTCTTCCCTTCTTCCTCCCATAAGAATTGTTTCCATTACCACCCTCGGAATGTAACGACCCGATGGAAAGTTATTTATTCCTGGTTTGAGTTCTGCCGCCTCGCAGTGGGCCTCTACCTAACAGAGAGCTCTGGGTTTCATCACAGGAATGAGCTCTGCCGGAAGCCTGCGGCAGCCGTGACGGTGCACCCCGCACCACAGCACAGGGGAGCACGGCCCTGCTGGTTTCCGGGCCTCTGTTCTCCCGTGCGGGCAGCCAGCCGCAGCCTACTCCCTCGTAGCTGCCCCCCGGAACAGAGACGACATGCCAGCCCCCCGGACAGGCATGCTAGATGCTGTTCGGGGAGCAGCGGTGAGCCCTCGGGGTGGCCGGCCCCCAGCTCAGGAAAGGGCTGGGCCCCCAACTGGTCTCGCTCAGGCCACATGGGGAGGAGTAAAAACCGGCCGTGTGCAAAGCCATGACCTCGGGTCACAAGGAGCCTGCATGTCCGCCACCACCACGGGCCAGCCCCGAGAGAAGGGAGTCACTTGGTGATCCTGCCACTGTAGCCCAGCCCAGCACCTGTGCCCACTGGGGCAGCATTTCACGAAGAAACACAGGTCACTTCCGACTCCGAGTGGCTTTTTCCTCCCTGGATCTGCAGCCTGGTGGCCCCTTGTGACATTTCAGCTCGAGCACCGTGACGCTCTGGGAAGTGCATCTGCCCCTCTGGCGGAAGGCACTGGCCAGCAGAGCCTTGGACGCCAGCCTCCCAGGGCCAGGGCCCCAGGATCCCGGCTCGCTCACGCCCCTCTACCGTGCCCAGCCCAGCAGGATGCTCGGTGGCCGCCCACACTCGAGGAGGGCCCTGGGCTCCAGTCTTCTAGAACAACCCGTGCCCAACTCCCTCCTGTCAGGACCGCAGTGAGGCCGCTGGAAGTTGGGGTCGGACTTGCACGTGACTGTCCCTGGGCATCATGAGATAATCCCAGGCTCGCGCCCCCCACAGGGAGCAAGCACCTCCTGAGTGAGTGGCTACTTGGAAAGCAGCCTGCAGGCAGGGGAGGAGGGCGGCCTCGGGAATGCTCGCTACAGTCTTCTCTGGGCCGAGAGATGGCAGCCGTGCGCCTGGGTCTCCGGCCCGCCTCGTACCCGTCATGACCAGCACCTTCTTCTGTGGGTGGAAAGCGTGTACGGGACCAAGACCCTGTCACTGTGGGCGCACCCCTGGGAAGCGCAGACTCCTTCAAATGATGCTTGCTGGGACGGGCCCGTCTACAACCTACGACCTCGCGGAGAGGGTCGGACCTGCCACGTTCCAGACGGTTTGGGGCGTGGACAAAGGGAAGGCCTGTCCAGGTGGCCTGGCGGGCACGCAGCAGCTGGACGTGGAAGCCACTCGATGTGAGGAGCCCAGGTTTATGTCACTTTTGATAGAGTGTGGGGACAGCATTTGAAAAGCTGTAATCCCTTGTGATTTCACGGGGGTCTCCATACCACTAAACTGCCCCCTTGGATCTCCTGTACGTGCAGGAGCTCACACTGGCCGGGGCGGCTGAGGGCACGGCTGCCAGATACGGGGCCGGGACCCACCAGGCTTCCCACCCGGCGGCAAGTCAGTCTTTCCTCCCTTTACTCCGGACGTCCCGCGAGCAGGTTCCTTCCCGAAATCTAGAGCTTGACACCGCGTCCGATTCCAGCTAGATCAGCCGACGGCTTGACTCTTGGCACCTGCAGGACTGACCGGCACCCGCTCTGCAGCTGCAGACTCACGCGGCACGGCCGGCAGAGCCCCGGCCAGAGGGCATGTGCGGCTTTCCCCAGGGCCAGGCAGGTTGCCACTCCCCTCACATGCTCAGCCACAGGCCTGGAGAGGGCCGGGAAGTGGACAGACTCGGCCAGGACCCAGGAAACCGCAGAGACATGTCGCCGTGCGCCCCTCCCCCCCGGTGCCCGCGGTTCCCATGCGTGTCAGGGGCCGGCGTCGCCGTGCATGCCCGCCCCCAAAAGCCAGTTTGTCTGAAGGGAGCAGGGGACACATGAGGCCACAGGACGGGGGCTATGCAGGCCGAGCGACCGGACCGTCTCCAGGTCCTCAGGCGGCACCGGAGTCTCAGGGGGCCTGCATGGAGGGAGGGTGGCACCAGGAGGACGGAGCCCCCGCACAGGCCATGTGCCTGGGACACGTGCCGGCCTGTCGTTGCATGTTTCCCCGTGCAGCACACAGACACGGACGCAGGTGGTTTATGAGACACCCCGGGAGCCACATCCCCTGGCAGAGGCCGAGTCCCCAGGCCCCGAGGCTGGCACAGAGCCGGTGGGGTCACGGGCCGCGGCCACCGTGCCTACAGTTTGACTTGATACCCCATGGAACATGCCCAAGTTCCAGCTCAGAAACGTTTTGGGGGTCAATGCCAGGGACAGCCGTCCAAGGCGACCAGGAGGCCACCTCCTTGTGCTCCTCCCTGGCTCCTGTCCTGCTGCCCCTGTCCCGCCGTCTGTCCTTGCTCTTCAGCCGAGCACACCCCTCAGGGGACGCACGCTGACAGGAAGCCTTCTGCGGACGCGGCACCGGGTGAAGGGGCCAAAGACACGGGTAGTCGCGTGTCCGCCCTGTGGCCGGCCCTGCGGGCTGCATAGCCGATCCCCTGCAGCTCAGAGGCCCCCGTCCAGGGCGCGGGCGGCACCGACCCCGCTCAGCCCTCTGCCCTCTGCCTCCCTGTGTCTGACGGATGCTGTGTGACAGCCCGGCTCCCGAGGAGAAGGACATGAGGCAGCGCATCCCGAAGGCGGATCTCTGTCCTTGTTACCCGCTGAGTCTCAGGAAAGCTTTTCGAGCAGCTCTCCCTCCCACGCCATCTTCACGGAGCGGTGGGGATGAGTCTGCGGTGGCTCCGCTTGGCTCACACGGGGCTTCTGCCACCGCGGGGCCGGTCCCTCCAAGGGGCCCGGCTCCCGTCCCTGTGCCGCTCCGCGTGGCGCTCCGGCGGACGCTGGAAACCCTTAGAGTGAACTTGGCAGTGCGTGCCTCAGCCCCTCCCGCTGGCTGGAGGAGCCGCGGCCCACACAGCGCGCCCTGGGCGATCTCGCGGTGAGACCAGTTCTCGTTTTCCCTGAGTGAATGAGGGACAGGAGCTTGCAAACCCCACGTGGTTCTCTGGGTTTGCAGGGTCGGGGAGAGTGGTCACGAACATAGTAAGAAAATCACTGGCCGACGTAAGCTTGACCACGACCAGACACTGTGAGACGGGTGCGGAGGCTGGCTGACCGTGAGCGAGTCGCTCTTCTTGGACGTTTATGTTGGGTTTCGCCCACCGACAGGCTCACTTCCCGGCACTGCCTCCAACTGCCGGACAAAAGCGCGGGACAGGAAGGAGCCACAGCTGCGCATACGACGGGGAGAAGCAGACAACGTACGCCGTGACCGCCGCTCCTGCTGTCCCCACCGGTGTTAAGCAGCAGCAACCGGGTTACGGGAAAAGCCGCCAGCAACGGCCACTCTAGACCACAGCCGCGTGCGTGTGGGACCGGCGTGCAGGGCGATGGCTCGCCAACCCACAGCGGTCCTTCTCTGTACTGTCCTGGGGGCACTTTGTGAATTCACCGGAGGTTTCCGTCCTCAGCACTGGTGTCCTCTGACCCCCCACCCAGGTCACAGGATTGTGGGGACCTGGGGCACGGGCCCGCCCAGCCCCAAAAGGCCCCCGGCTTCCTGCTGGCAGAGGGCGGCAGGAGTGATCTGTCCCCCTGCTGCCGCCTCCCACGTCTCCGCGTCTGGTGACGAGCCTCCCTCTCCCGCTTCACGGGATGCCACCGGCCTTGTGCTTATGCAGGAATGAGGAAACCCGCACCGTTTAGAGAGCCGGGCCGTGCGTCCGCCAGGCCGGCATGAGACACTTACCACATGGCGTGCATATAGGTGGGGGGCAGGCGTGGGCTGCTGACCGGGGTGCAGTTACACGACCTCATGACCCTCTCTGCCAACAGAAAATTTCGAAACAGACTAGCCACCAACAGGTCCTGTCTGAAGAGCTTTTGGAAGAGATCTGAGGGCAGAGACGAGAAAAAAAGGTGTCGTCAGTGACTCGTGCCCAGCATTACAGCCCGACGTACAAATTCCGCCAGAATTTCTACCAGCGAGCTGGGACTAACACGCACATGTTCCGCGGGCAGCACTCACACAGGCGCGGACACACGCCCAGGCCCACCGTCAACGGCAGAGTCAGGGCAGCAGCCCTGGTCTGAGAAGTGGGGAGGCGCCAGTGACCCCAACACAGATGAGCCCGGGAGCTGCCGGGAAGACAGCCTACGAGATCGGCACCGGTGCCCATGCGCACTCACCGCACCGCTGCCCGCGTCCCCTGCCTTCCCCCATCACCCTTGGTCACCTCTGCCGAGGAGAGCCACCCTTCCCGACTGCTGTCCCGCCCAGGGCCAGTGGTGCCCAGCTTCCGGCAGCAGCCCCCGGACCCCAGAGGGCAGCCTCACCCCGAGGGAGCACGTTCCAGGCGATGGTGTCCGTGATGGCCGTGAAGATCCAGTTCAGCTCGCCCAGTGGTGTCCGCCTATCGTTCAGCCGGCCGGGGATCCTAGGGGACATGGCGCGCCTCCATCAGAGACCCTCACGTGACCAGAACGGGGGGATGGAGGGAGGGGACCAGGAAGAAAAGGCGCGAGAGGGCCAAGCAGCCTGGGACCGGAGGCAGGAGGGGCCGGCCACGCCGGGAGCCGCCCCTCCAGGGTGTCTGAGGCTCACACGCTCCTGTCCTCACAGCTCAGGACTCGGCCTCCACCTCCCACGTCCCCACGCGTGGCCCCTGCCGGCACAGCGTCCCAGCCTGGAGCCGAGGGGCACGCGTGTCCTCCAAGGAGGCAGTTTGCCTTCTGTCGCCCGGCACCTATTTCTGAGTGTCTGTGACGGGGCTGGTGAGCACCGCTCCAGCACCGATGTGGCCGCCGCCCCTGGTACGTGCCAGGGCCCTGCCGCGGTCCGGAGGGAGGTCATGCAGGAAGCAGGTGACCGGCACAGGCTCTGGGAGGAGGGGCGGTGACGCAGAGTGGGCAGGAAGGGAGCAGTGGTACAGGGCGGGTGACAGAAGGCCTCGCCGGGCGGACAGCCCTGGAGGATGCGAGGCGGCGGGCTGGGCCGAACCCGGGGGAGGAGCGCAGGGGCGGACGTGCGTGCCGGGCCGGTGCGGGCCCGTCTGCACCAGGGCCCAGCGTGCTGCGCTCCGTGTCGTGGAAAACGCCCTCCGCCCCCCAGAGGAGCAGGCTCACGGGTCTGGCACAGAGACCCGAGGGCAGCTCTGCTCTCGGTGAGGTTTCCGAGGTCACGGTGCCCACGACAGCGGCGCTCTGACGGCACTGTGTCCGCAGGAGCCACGAGCCTCGGCAGCAGGCGGGCTCAGCTCACTCCCCCTCGCGCCCGCACGGGGAGGCTCCCGTCCACCTAACGCCTGTCCCTCCAGGAACGAAACATTTTACTTCCTCACGCAGGCTTCGCGAGAGGACAGGAAATACCGGAGATGAGTCGGTAAAACGCTTGGGAAAAAGGCGCTACTGCTCAAAGAGCGTCAGGAGTCGCACGCGGATTTCCAGAGCCACAAAGGCCGGCGGGCACAGGGGCACGGTGGGCTCGGGTCGCCAGAAAGGCCGGCGGGCACAGGGGCACGGTGGGCTCGGGTTGCCAAGCCGGAAGGCTCACGCGGCCGTCAGCGCTGGCAGGTCACACACGGGACTCGCCTTAAGGTTCCGGCATTTACACGAGGTCTCCACGGAAACACCCCGCCCAAGGACAACGGAAGGTCACTTCCTCATCCCGCAGGGGCGGCCTTTTCTCCACCCCATGGACGGGTCGTTGACTGAGATCGGGGCTTGGACGCCCAGGTTCTGCAGCTCCAGCTAACGCGGCGCCAGAGGCAGGAGCCAGCGCAGCGAAGCGAGGAAAAGGGATTAAGCCGCAGAGGTCGGAAAGGCGGAGGCGACGCTGTGTGTATCCGCAGACGGTGTAATTATGTACACAGAAGATCCTAACGAAACCTACGAAACAGCTACGAGAACTAATAAGGGAGTTTAGCAAGATTATAGGAAAGGAGGTTTTTACAATAAAAAGCAATTACACTGCTACATGCTATTGCTAAACAATTTAAAAAACTGAAATTAACAAAACATTTGCAGGGTATGAGCAGGTGAAACCACGAACATCGAGACGACGGAATCGTCACGAGGTTGGGTGAGGATACGTGAGCCCGCCAGGCACTACAGAAGCACATCAGAGCGTGTGACTTCGTCCGGGGCCTAGAATCGCGAAGGGGAGGGGAAAACGTGCTGCAGCTGCACGCGCGAGCTGCGGCCCTGCACACCTGGCCTCGCTCTGGGCCTTCGTTCGCTGCTGTGTGGCTCGGCCTCCTTCGCGCTCAGTCCCCTCGTTCGTGGAATGTCCATGAGGCCCCTTCATGGGGCGAGCTCAGCGAGGTGATGCGCACGAAACACAGTGCCGATCCACGCAGGCACGTGTGTGGGCACTCGTGCAGCTGTGACAGCAGATGGACTCAACACAGCAGCCGAGCGGCACGCGGTGGACCGCGAGGGCCACACCCCCCCGTCCAGCCCCTGTCCCTTCCCAGAGCACTGAAACACCCGGAACCGACTCGCGACCACCGGCAGTACAAGAGGACAGCCTGGCTCAGCAGGGCCCCTGGTGTGGGCCCATGTCCCAGCACGATGACCGAGAGCCCCTCGCTGGAAACCCGACCCCATCCCACTGACCGGCCGACCTCCCGGCCCAAACACCTGCCTCTGACTTCCTGGCTGGCAGATGCCCCGGCCTGTGGCGCCCGTCCCCACGCAGCTCGCCAGAGCACTCCGGGCACAACGGCATCTGTCCCAGCCAGAGACGCCTGCTGCCGCGGGCTGGACTGGAGGATGAGCACGAAGGAGGAAGAAACAACCAACGGCAACAGCAAAGGGCGAAGCACCGCGGAGGTAACGGATGAGGCCTGAGTACGCGGGGGACGCAGCTGCTCACGGCCGGAGGCCCCGACTGCGTGGGAAAACACGACCCACGACACGCCGCACACCACGTGCGGAAACTTACTCGAAACGGGCCATAAACTGAAACATAAAAGCTAAAACTATAAATGTTTTAGAAAAAAATAGGAGAAAATCTTCACCACCCTGAGGTAGGCAAAGATTTCTTACGTGGGACACAGAAAATACAAATTGTGAAAGAAAAAAAAAACTACGAAATCAGATTTTATCAAAGTGAAAAACTTCTGCTCTTAGAAAAACTGTTGTGAAAATGAAGCCAGACTGACCGAGAACATCCACAGGACGGACCCGACAGTGACCGGCACCAAAACATGCCAAGGACTCGCGGGCAAACAACGAAAACACTGGCAAGGCGCACGAACGTACGTTTTATTAAAAAAGTAAATGAATGGCCGACAGCACGTGATAAGCTGTTTCGCATCAGTAATGAGGCAAATGCAAACAAAACCACTAGGACGGAGCATCACACACCTGTCAGAACAGCTGAACTTGCAAAGCCGAAGCGTACCCAGTGCTGACACAGGCGGAGAGCGACGGGGACGTCACGCGAGCCGGTGGGGGCGTCAGGGTGGCAGGCCGCCCTGGAACAGCTGGCAAGGTTCTGACAAGTCGCACGCACGCCTGCCGTGTGACCACCACTCTGCTCTACGCTCTCATCCAGGAGATGGACATGCTTCCCACACAAGGCCCGGAGTCTGAACATCTGGAGAAGCTCTTCCATAACGACCGAACGGAAACCACCCGTGTTTGCCGACAGGTGAATGGACACGCGAGCTGTGACATATGCAGTGGAGCACGGCCAGCAAAAAGCATCCGCTGCTCACACACCCAGCGTGGACGAGTCTCCGAGGCCTTGTGCCGGGCATAGAGAGCCAGACACGAAAGAGTACCTCAGCATTTTGACGAGTCTTTCTTACGATGAGAAAAGCACGTTGTGGATGCTGGGCCCCGAGGCTGGGCCCCGGGGCTGGGCGGGACAGTAGGAGGGCACTTTTGGGATAGACCTTGACTGTGAAGGTGGTTCCAGGGGAGTACAGATTGGTCAAAACTCCCCGAACTGCACAAAGTGAGTTCATTTTACTGAATGAAAGCTGTATTTCAACAATGTTGATTTAAAAATGTAAAAACAAATGAAGAGGAACTTATGGCATTTTCAAACAATAAAAACAGAATTTTTTACTGGCGAACATGCACTAAAGAGAGTTCCTTGGGTGAAGACACACGACCTTAGCCGGGAGCTCTGAGATGCAGGAGGGGATGAAAGACGCTGGCAGCTGTGAACGTGAGGGTGGACTCGAGCGAACGTTCACTCCAGAGGGCACTGACATCGATGGAGATGACAACGTACAGAGAGCCAGAACGTGGCCACGATCGTACCCACGTCAGTGGGGAGGACTTGGCGTGTTCGAAGGCCCTCGCAGGGCCTGGAGGTGGCCAAAGCACTAATGTGCACTGGACTTGAGCAAGCCAAGGCACAAAAATATTGCCCAAGGGCCAAATCCAGCCAGTAGCCTGTTTTTGGTATGGCTTGAGGATAACGATGGATGGTCTTTATAATTTTTAAGGGTTGCAACAAAGAATAAAGAATACACGACAGACACTTAATGTGGCTGGCAACGCCTAAAGCGTGTGCTCTCTGGCCCTTAACGGAAAACACCAGTGAACCACCGGGGCCCATTCCACTGCAGGGGAGAATAAGCCAGGAGAAGGGAGAGAGGAGCCCAGTTGCTAAGTCAATCGAAAAGGTGGAGACGGAGGAGAAATCGAGGAAAGTAGAAAACAATGGGGGGGGATGAGAAAGCAAAAAGACAGATTTAAACCTAAATATCTCGATTATTCCACTAAATGTAAAAAACTATATATTCTAATTAAAGACAAAAATTTTCAGTCTGGATTTAAAAACAAAAGTCATTGATATACTGCTAAAAAGAGACGCACCTTTGATATACACAGATACAGAAATACGTATAAAGGTATCTGCTTAAATACATGGAAGGATGAAGACACGGACTGAAAGACAGGTGGACAGCTGTGCTGCCATCCCACGGAGCGGGCCTTGTGGGGAGGGCATTATCAGAGATGGGGGTGACACGAGGCTTGACCCGCTCCACGAGGGGTGGGGGGACAGTCATGGCTGAGCTGTCCTTCTGAAGGGCGGAGCACGGGGTCAAAGGGGAAGGGGCTCCCATGGAAACGAACTATTTCTTGAACTGAGATCACGTGTCAGCAACGTCTCTAGAAACGGGGGCAGGTGACGGGGAAGCATGACATGGCATCAGGCGGGTGGCAGGACGGGCGTCCGGGCCTGCGCACAGGAAAGAGGCGCTGTGTCGGCCGCACTGAGGACGACTAACGGATGGACATCTAGGGTCAGTGTGCCACGTCCCCAGTGAACACGAGAAGCTTCCCGACGTTTCTGATCACACCTCCTCGTGAGAAATGCATTTTGCACGGCGACCTGACATGTACACACGTGAGGCCGTGTGTAAATACACATATTTAAACAAGAAAAGCAAGAGCATTTGTGTGACTAGGAAGACAAATGACTTTCTATCCCCTTTTTTGAAATGCGGACTGTGACTCACTAACCTGATTTTCCAGCCACTAATAAACCATGACCTGCAGTTTAAAACACATGGACTTAAATGAAGCTCGTGCTGATTTCTCCAGGGAGATGCTGACTCTGGGTTACTGAGGTCGCTTGGTGGTGAACGTGGCACCTGAGTGACATTAGAGAGTAGGAAACTACGTAATTCTAACTTAAAACAAGCGGATTGATTTTTAAAACACTCCGGGCTGCTGCTTCCTAATGACTTTAAACCTGTGCAGTCTCCGAATCAGGGTTCGCGAGTGCACCGCTGCCCTCCGACCCTGTCCTGCGTGGGACGGCGAGCGCCCCGGGGACAGGAACCCACTTGTCTGACTGGCGAAGCCAACGCAGGAACCTGTACCTTATGTTCTGAGCAACAGGGCGATGATCCCACGGCTGCTGGGGCGCGGGAGTGACACCCCACCAAGGTGGTCTGCCTGCTGTGGACGTCATCAGAACGGCAGCAATGGCCCGCCCACCGGCGCCTCGCAGGGAGACCGGGTCAGAGGGAGGGAGCAGCTTCCTGCCTGCTCGCCCCACAGGCTTAGGACGCGAGGGAGACAGAACTTTATTAAACAGGGCGGATTCCAAAACCCTTAGGAGGTCAAGCTGAGCCTATGCTTGTTTCTGAAGCACTTCCTGAAATGCTTCCTGATTTTCCTCAGACTTCCCAGAATCAAGATGGATCCTCAGACAGACCCTTTCCTGGGCATGACGGTGACAGGGCCAAGCCTGCGATGTCCCCAACAAGCACAGTCACTCAGAAGCTGTGAGCAAGCCTCAGGGGTCTTTCAGGAGAGACAGCTCCTGAAGACACGGGATGGGAGCACCGCCCTCGGACGCAGACGCACCTGGGGAGCAGCACCCGGACCCGGAGTTGTCCTGGGGAGCAGCGCCCGGACCCAGACTTATCCTGGAAAGCACCCCCCAAGCCTGGACTTGTCCTGGGAGCACCTCTCACAGACCATCCTGGGAGCACGTCTGTGCAGAGGTGCTGGGGACCTCGGGTGCATCTCTGAGGTGTCCTCCAAAGCTGAGGTGCCCCTGCCCTGGGTGGTGGGGAGCGGAACCCCACGGGTTGAGGAGCTCACTGCGCCGTCCCCACAGGCCCCCGTTCTGGCCCACGGAGACAGAGCGGGCTCGGGGCCGCTGCCTGTGCCCACCCCGCCCCATTGCGTGGTCGCCTCCGCCCGCGGGTTTGCTGAAGCAGCACAGGGGCGAGTCTCCCAGCACAAGCGGCTCTTTGTCCCCGCTCTGGGGGGTATCCCGGGCCCCCCTGGCATTTAACAGACCCAGCGGCTCCGCTCCCCAGAACTGCTGCCAGGCCAACCTGACCAGCCCCTCCCACGCCAGAGACGTCCCCTGGGGTCCTCACCTCACCTGCCCTGGAGACCAGACGCCTGACGCATACAGCTCACACCACCTCCCTTGCGAGCCCCTTCCCGCGCGTCCCCAACCACAACGAGCCCGTCCTCCCTCGGAACGTCCAGCTGCAGGTGGATGAGGGGATGGGAGGGGGTAGCAGACTGCGGGCCGATTACCCCCCACCCTGAGGCCTGGTCCCCTCATCTGTGCCACGCGGCCCCACAGGAGACAGAGACAGACAAGTAAGGGCGCATCAGTGACTGGCCGGCGTTAACGAGTCACTGCTGACGTCCCACCCTCAAGCAGCGACGTGCTACACTCGTGCTGGGAGCATCCCCTGGTCGCTTTCCTTCCAAACGTGACGCAGAGGACGATCGCGACCTGACGTGGAGAAACTTCTCATCCCGGCATGGAGCCCCCGGAGGCCGTGGGACAGGCCCCCGGGGAAGGTCCCCGACCGCCTCGCCACGGAGCAGGCCCCACTGCAGCCGCCCTGCAGTGAGACACTGGCAGCCTGCTTGCCTGCCCGTGCCTCAGCTTCCCCACCTCGGACTGTGGCTGATAACGGCCTCCAGCGGGACTAGAAGAGCTCAGAGGGTGAAGCCTGGACACAGTGCCTGGCACCCAGCAGGTGCTCAGCGAACGTCACCTGTCACTCCGCTTCCCAGGTCCCGAGCAGAAGAGCATTAGGGTCACCTGTGCCCTCCAGTGGCAGCTGGGGAACCTTCTCCCACTGTCCCCACTGCGCCCCAGGGCCCCGAAGGGACCAGGATTCTCACGGGTGGAGACCTCCGCTGAGCGAACAGGACGCTCAAGGCTTCAACGCCAGCGTGACCCACACCCAGGCTCGGCTCTGCCGCCTCCCTGACGGGGCTCCGCCACCCGAATGGGGGCTCCACCGTGGCCTGGGCTCGGTGGGGTACGGATGCCGTGTTTCGTTGTGTTCCAGACTCTGGATTGTCAGCCGTTTAAAACAGCCGTCCACACACGAGGCATTAATCAGGAATAGTCTTTGGCGTGCCCTGCGCTTCCAGTGACTGGAACGCTGACCAGCGGCCTCACGGAACCTCGGTGGGAAGTGGACGCATCTGCTGAGCGCCCCGGCGTTTCCAGCCCCGCTTAAGTGCTTTATGACTTTGTCTCAGGGCTAAAAAAGGTTCCTTAATTTCCAAACATGGATCCTCCTGCCACTCTGTGCAGTGGCGACACGCGTATCTATCAGGCTGCTGGCTTCGCGCAAGTAATGAGAAATCGGGGTGCTCAAGGAGGGTGCAGTGTAATCACTTCCAGGCACGCAGCTTAATTAGAAAACAATTCGTTCGCTAGCTTCAAAGACTGTGGAATAATCATCGCACGCACACACCGCCCCCAGCTCCTCTGCGGAACGAGCTGAGACGCCACACGACTGCGCTTAGCTCAGGGGACAGAGTGGCAGAGGCGGAAAGGGGTTAACAACTGACACCCTGCATCTGTCTGAAACCAACCACACTTACTATGAAATTACCCTGCAGCAATTCTCAGGGACGACACTCTTCAATGTCTCCACTGGTGGCAAAGAGGACGACACGGCTCAGGCTGGACTTCTGACTGTGCGGTGGCAACGAGAGGGGGCGCTGGCCCAGGGGAGGCAGCGTGGGCATGTGGACTGGCACCACCCTCCAGCCCCCATGGCCAACGGCTCTGGGTCCTGGACACGAAGGTGCCTGCCGTGCTGCCTGCAGGTGGCGGCCCCAGCAGCTAACGCCCACGGTGATGGCCATGCTGTCAGTGTGAGTGCGCGTGCGTGTGACTGTGTGTGCGTCATGTCTGTCAACATGTACACATGCATGACTGTCAGTGTGTGTGCACATGCAAGTGACTGCATGTGCACGTGTGAGCATGACTGTCAGTGTGTGCACGTGTGCGTGACTGTCAGCGTGTGCACGTGTGCGTTGACTGCTAGTGTGTGCACGTGTGTGGCTGTCAGTGTGTGCACGTGTGTGCGCGTGACTGTCACTGTGTGCGCACACATGTGCATGCGTGTCAGAGTGTGTGAGCGCATGTGCGTGACTGTCTGGAGTGGCAGGATATTGAGGGAAGGCTGAGGGGCCAGGTGGTGCTGAGCCGGGCCCAGCCGTGCGTCGCGTCTCCGCTTTGCTCCATGTTGGGGTATTTCCAACTGTAAAAGGAGTCGGCTTTTTTCTCTCCTTCTAATGTGGCCCGCAGTGAGCTGAGCCCTACGCTAAGCGCCAAGGCGACCACTCAGACGTAGCCTAAACCAGCGACGGCCAGGCTGTCAGTGTGTGTGCGTGTGACTGTATGTCAGTGTCTGTACGTGCACGTGACTGTCAGCGTGCGTGCGTGTGTGTGTGACTGTGTGTGCGTACATGTCTGTCAACGTGTGCACATGCGTAACTGTGTCAGTGTGTGCACGTGTGCGTGGCTGCTGGTGTGTGCACGTGTGCGACTATCAGTGTGTGCACGTGTGCGTGACTGCCAGTGTGTGCACGTGTGCCTGTCAGTGTGTGCACGTGTGCGTGACTGCCAGCATGTGCACATGTGTGACTGTCAGTGTGTGCACGCGTGTGCGTGACTGTCAGCGTGTGCACGTGTGCGTTGACTGCTAGTGTGTGCACGTGTGTGGCTGTCACTGTGTGCACACGTGTGCGTGCGTGTGTCAGTGTGTGAGCGTGTGCGTGCATGACTGGAGTGGCAGGATATTGAGGGAAGGCTGAGGGGGCCAGGTGGTGCTGAGCCGGGCCCAGCCGTGCGTCGCGTCTCCGCTTTGCTCCATGTTGGGGTATTTCCAACTGTAAAAGGAGTCGGCTTTTTTCTCTCCTTCTAATGTGGCCCGCAGTGAGCTGAGCCCTACGCTAAGCGCCAAGGCGACCACTCAGACGTAGCCTAAACCAGGGGCCAGAACACGCCCAGGTGAAAGGGAGCGTCCCCCAGCAGAGGTGCTTCTGAGAGCCCAGGGGAAACGGGACGAAGCCTGCAGACGCAGACAGCCACCCACGCAAACCTCACTTACTTTTCTATCAAATCCAGGGTGACTCCAGGCACCAGGCTAACGCACTTCTGCATGCAAAACCTGCGGGGAAAGAAAGAGAGAGTGAACTGCGCGAGCGGGAAGTTAACAGGACAACGCGACCGTCCCGCAGAGACAGCGAGGAGAGCTGGGGGTGGGAGAGTGGGGGCTGTCGGGGGGCCGGCAGCTCCCGCATGAACGAGGAGCTCTCGGGCCAGCCTGGGGTGCTGCCTAACTGGGGGGCACTGATGGGGTGCAGGGGCCACCCTCCTCTTCTCCTGTCAGGGTGCCTGGCACCCAGCAGGACGGAACCAAGAGAGGTGTAAAGCATTTAAGCCATCCGTTTAAGGATTAGGAGCAAATGCCCTCCTGTGAAAAAGTGCCGCTGCCCTGACGTCCGATGTACACTCAAGACTCACTTCAGTAACGAAGGGGCAAGTTTTCTTTTACAAAGATACACACGTATTTTAAATTTTCACGGCTGTTCTCAAACACTCATTCTTCCAGTTGACCTTCAGAAGCACGCTGTCAATATTGTGTTAAAGGTGTGGTTTAATTTAGGGAGAATTTATCTCTTTACTTTACTGGCTCTCATCACCTAGTAACACAGACGGTCTGTCCATGATTTCAAACTCCTCTTCCCATCAATCAGTGAAGTTTAATGGGCTCTTCCCTATGTACGTCCAGCTCATTCTCAGCTGATTTACACCGTCGTTATTTATTACTGCTGCTTTCGTGAATCAGATTTATGTTCCTTCCCAATATTTCCAGGCTGGCTGTTTTTAATATGTGAAAAGGGTAATAGTTTTTAAAAAATATTGTTAAGTATACCATATGTGATGAGCATACAGGATACAGATGTGAGTTTAAGCAATAATAAGCATAACTATCACTGGATTAAGGAACCCATGCCCTGCAGAGGGGGCCATGCCGACCTCCAGGCCCCGACCTGCACGCGTGTGTGCACGCGTGTGTGCACGCGTGTGTTCACTCCTTCACCGTCACTTTGCTGAGTGCTTATGTCACTGCCAACAATTTTCCAATGGATTTTTTTGTAAAGTTGAATTCAGATCATATCTGAATAATGCACATTTGCCTTCTCTGCAGAACATGTACATCTTCATCTTCTCGCCCATTACAGTGACTACATTTCCAGACAGTTTATCAGATGAACGGAAGTCGGTAGGCACCCTCTCTCAGCCCTAATTACAGCAGGGAAACGCCACGCTGACTGGCATGACGGCTGCTAGTTTCGAAGAAAATGTCTCTTGTGCAAAGGAAGCACTCTTCTACTTTTATTGAGTTTCGATTAAAATTCATTTTTAATTTTATCAAATACTTTTCTTCCTTTCACCTACCAAGATGATGAACTATATCACTAGGCGGCTTATCAAAGCATCCGGAATGCGTCTCACTGTTTGTTTGTGATACTGCGGGATTCTAGCGGCTCGTTCATTCCGACTCTCTGTGTGCTGTGTGTGTGTGTCTGGGTGTGAATGTACGTGTGTGTGTGTGTGTGTGTGCGCTACAGCCGTCAGGCTGGGTGCCCCAGTCACAGATAACTTTACAAAAAGAGGAAACAAGTTCACACTTGTCGAAATATGGCAGATACTCATACTGTTCTGTTACCGTTTACTCTATTCCGTGTTTCAGGAATAATCATCCGTGTGCTGTCTTCACTTTGTTGCTCATGCTTCTCGTTATTTTGTATTGCTTTCTGTTTCCTGTAATACTTCCTCTACTTCTGACTGATTTTAAGGTCGCTTAACTTTGGGAACTAAATTTGATTTCTTAAACCTTTTCTCTCTGCTACTATTCTATTCATCTAAACGTATTCTTTTGTCATCTCAATTTATCCTCCCAGAGACCGTTTTTCCGTGACTTCCTTGCGAATACAAAGGTCTCTGCTTTCTGGAGTGATCGGATCACCCGCTGCTGCTCGTCAGGTGCCCCTCCGCCCACACCTGGGTCCGGGCTGAGGCGGTGACACAGGGTGGCACCCCGGGATGCCGAGCCCCGGGTGGGGGTGGGAACTGCAGTCTGGGCTCCAGATGGCCACTGACAAGGCCGCCTGGAGGGCTGCCAGGGCGGACACACCAGCAAGGGGCCGGGGACGCCGCCCTGCACTCCCGCCAGGACGCAGGGGGACGGGGCTTCCCAGAGGCTGTGCTCTCAGCCTGTGCTAGGGTCCAGGCTGCGAGGCCAGGCGAGGACGAGCCCGCGGGCTCCTGCTTCGACTGTGGTCCCCAGGGCGCGGCTCGCTGTCCGGAGCCCCAGCTGCATTCTGTACTCTGGCCAGCTGAGCTGTGGCTGCGTCCCTCTCCGGGCTGGCACGGGAGTCTTCAGGGGCTTCTGCTGGCCACTGACACCTCGCAGGTGGGGCTACTCCAGCCCGATCCTGCCTGTGACTATGCCCCAGAGATGTCGGCTTTGATATTCCTTTTGTAAAAGATAGTTTGGGAGGTAGTGTAAAGCGGCAACAAATACACTATTAAAAGTAGAATCAGCAAAGTCCTTGGCATTTCCTCTAATCTAGCATGTTTAAAATAAAATGCACACGAAACCAGTGTGTCAATCATCTGGTATTTATAACTGAATTAAAAAGTATGCCAGTTGGTACTATTAGGGAAAAAAGTAGAAGACACTTTCCTAATTTACAAACTTTAAATAGCTGCCACTTTTAAGTGGACAGAACAGCTGACTCTCCTTAGGAGCTTCCGGGACAGTGACCAGGACAAAGCACACGCGTAGTTCCGGGCTGTGCTGCCCCGAGGTGAGCCAGCTCAGGGCCGCTGGCTGAGAGGGGCGCTGTGGAGAACTGACTGGTCCCCTGGTGTCCTGTGGCCAACGAGACGTGACTGCAACCAGGCCGGGTCTTGTCCTTGTCCCCCTGCACTGTGACGCGGGGGTGCGCCCCCAGAACGCCTGGGGCCCGGAACCTGGCTCAGACTCTCCTCCTCATTCTGGGCCCCCGGCCAGGCCGCACCCCACAAAGTCCCCTCACCTCCCCACCCTAGGACGCACCCCGAGGGCCCTGACGCCGAGCACGGGACACCCGCACCCCGATGCTGGGGCTCTCGTGCCCCGCGCCCTCGACGCTCTCACTTCCACTCCTTCCCGTCCCCGCATGTCCCTCCCGCTTCTGAGCCGGGGCTTTGCGGGACCCTGGGCCAAACGGTCTCCACAGCTTGCCCCCCCCCGCCGAGCCTGGATCCGTCCAGACCCCCTCACCCGCTCTGCCATGGTCACCAAAGCCCACGGCCACCAACTGTCAGCCACGGAGCAACCTGGCACCTGGCTGGCTGTCCTGCTGGTCACGCCTGCCCTCCTGTGTTGTGCCTCCACTGGCCTGTGTGACGACGGGACAGGCTACAATTCCGCCGGGGCCCGCACCACAGCCCAGCAGTCCCAGCAGGCCCCTGCCACTCGAGGCCACGCCCAGCTCAGCAGGTGACCCCTGCCATGTCCCCTCCGGCTGCAAATCTGGCCTGCATGCCTGAGGACAGACGCCCGCTCTTCAGGCTCCCACCGCGGGCTCCGGCCGGCCACGGTGCGCCCCCTCTTCATTTTGCTCTCAAGCACGCATCGACCTTCCGGGCTACAGGCCTGAACCCCACAACCCCGCTCCTTACGCCGACCTCGTAGTCAGGCACTCTAAAAGGGCTGCTCTTTACGGGGCCAACAACTCTGCCTCGGTGGACGCAGGGTGGGAATGAACATGGCTTATGCAGCACGCTGCCCAGTCCAGCGCAGACTCCACGGGGTCACGGACGTCCACCACTGAGCACGCAGCTGCATACGTTAGCAGGTTTTGAAAGCCACGTGACTTACTGTTACCGATTACGCACGGGCACGTGTCTATTTCGACACACACATTGGACAAGGAGTCCAAGCACCATTGAAATGCTTGAAGTTTAATAAGATACAAACGGGAATAAACAGTTAAGAAGTAACTGTTTCGCAAAACCGTGATGCAGTGCAGTTGCTGTGCAGGTCTGACGCAAGCAGGGTTTCAAACTAATTTGGAGCATAGTGGCGAGGCCACCAAAACAGCCGTGGACAGCGCCTTTCGTCCCGCTGGCCAGTGAGGAGGACTGGGAGGGCAGCGAGGCTGGCGGGGGTGGACGCCACGTCGAGCACGACACGCTCACTCGGCAGCAGGGAGCCCGCTGCGAGCTCGACTGCACACGTCCTCGTTCTCTTCCGAACACCTGTTCCGTTAGAATGTTCTGTTCACGCCTGCTGCCCTTCAGTCTTCCAGCACGTTCCACACTGATGCACTAGGCTGGCAGGGAGCCCGCTGCGAGCTCGACTGCACACATCCTCGTTCTCTTCCGAACACCTGTTCCATTACAATGTTCTGTTCACGCCTGCTGCCCTTGAGTCTTCCAGCACGTTCCACACTGATGCACTAGGCTCTGAGAGGAGACCCTAGACTGCCTGCAGACCCCGTCTGAGATAATGCACCCTACAGTTCTCCCACCGAGAACCACCGGGGGAGACCGAACGTGGGCCCACACACACCCCGCTGGAAGATAAACGACTCCCAGCACCAACCAGAAGTAAACAGGCGACCCGCCTTCAAAAACAAGTCACTTAGGAAAAGACTTTTGCTTAGGGGAAATAAGCTGATTTTCAAAAGACCCTCGGTGCCTAAAATTTGGTCTCGTTGGTCAGTTTTAGGCAGTACCTCTGTCAACGTCACTTCTCAGCTTTCGCCTCTGCTGATTACACTGAGCCTTGGGACAGCACTTGAACAGGGTCCGCTGATATTCAGAAGAAATTTGAGGAGGCCCGGCTTTATAGCACAGGCATTTTGCAACGGGCTGCCTGTCGACCTGCGTGAGGTTTCAAGATCGGACATGGCAAATGGCGCTGCACGAACGTCCACGCACACGCGGGGACGTGATTCTGCGCTTAGGCAAATAGCAGGTCGGAGCTGGCGGCCGCGTGCCGTGCGCCGTCGACGTTAGAGACCACTGAGCGTCTTCCACGGGGGCTGTGCCATTCTGCGTCCCCGCCGGCAGTGGGTGACGGTTCTAGCGACCACGTTCTGGCCAGCA